TTCTTTACCTTCTTATCCCACACATTGTCATACATCACACTAATCCTTACTAATATTTTAAATGCCAAAGTAAATTTGTTTGTATCTATTTTTATGTTTTTGCCACAACTATTTATGTGTTTTGACCTCATAATACTTCAACTATCGTCGTGGAATTTAGCACATTCGTATTATTTCGCTATAGAAAACAACATGCATAAACAACTTTATCAATCCATTTCGAAACGAAGGTGGTATTTAGTTCGCTTGTATTTTTTTTCCTCAAGTTTTTTTCCTCATAACTCTGTCAGTACTAAACCGATTTGGGTATTTTTTATCTGAAAGAATATACTTACAAAATGGTTCCATAGAAATTTTATTAAAACCGTTTCATTAGTTTAGTTTTTAAATTAAAATAACTGATTTGGTCAGAATTGTAGTCTACTTTTTATGAGGCACACTCTTTATTTAGAAACCCATTAGATAGATAAAATTGCGTCCAGCTATATTAATAATTATCTTTGAAAACTGATGACCAAAAGTCGAGACGAATTTATTTTTATTTGTTGACGTAATCGTACAGTAACAGTAACAGTTACACCCTAAAAAATCTGATAAAATTAGAACATGTTGCTTTTGGAAATCCCTAAATGAGAGGTAAAGGCATACGTGAACAATGTACATGTTATCCGTATAAAGTTTCCCCTTTGTAAAAAAAGTTCCCAAATCCAAATCATCTTTATTTAAATAGACTTGTTTACAAGCACTTTTCGTCGTTTTCTAAGAATCTACTAAAGGATTCGGAATGTTGTTATACGCTGAGAAGAACCCACAAGAAACAGTTACTATTTTAAATCTTTAACTTAATAATTTTTCTTTTAATCACTGTTAACATTGTGTGTATTTATTTAAATGTACTATCTCTAAAACTGTATAGTTGTTAAAAAGCCCGTGCATGATCGATTAATACCACGTTTGTCAAGTAATCGTTTAGTGTGTAAATAGGCTTTGTTCGATGTTTTTTTAATAACAGTATTAAATTTATTAAAATATAGACCAAAAATAACCTTCATTCTTCGAACAATAAGTTCCCTTAGTCGCTTCATACAACGCCCACGGGAAAGGAAGGAGTGGTCCATGCCGAGACCAAAGAGCAATTGGCATTTGGCATTATAATATAAAAATAAGTGCCCGCACAATCAGATTGATCTCCTGGATCTCAAACAAAGATACGCGTATTATTAGATGCGAGTCAATTTAAAAAAAAGTATATTTTCTAAATTAGCCCAGAATGGAATCGAACCCGGGCTATCATTACGTAAACCAATATGCCTACACACACCACTTAAATATGTATTTATTCTCATAGTAACATAGACATTTCTAAATTACTATTACCAACAAGTGTTCTCTTATCCCGAAATAGTATTGCCAACCAAGATTGATTACTGTATTGAAAAGATAAATAAATCTGTCGAGGCAAAATAGGTACTAAAAATAGGTATTTCCTAATCTCAGTGAAATTATACTTTGATCGTCTTTTGGCATAACATAATACTCAATTATATTTTGTTATTAATTCAAGATTTCCTTGAAACAATAACAAAATATTATTAAGTATAAGGAAATTGATTTGACTGATTGTTGAAAGTGGGCTTTTATGTAAATAGGTACCTAAGATATTTTGTAGAGATTATATTTTTTTTTATACAACTTAGAATGGCAAACAAGCTGACGGCCCACCTGATGGAAAGTGGTAACCGTCGCCTATAGATATATTATATGTTGTATACTGTTAAATAAAAATATTATTATAATTATTCCTAGATTATTGCGTTACCTACAGGGCGTCATGATTGCCCTAACCTTTCCTATATATTTGGGCTCGGCGCAGTATGATTTCTTCTTCTACAAACCCCTTTTTTATTTTTTATAACACAGGGAGCAAACGAGAATGCGGCTCACCTGGTAGTAAGTGACTACTATTGCCTATGATCACCCGCAATACCAGATGCACTGCAGGTGTGCTGCCGGTCTTTTAAGGTTATGATGTCGTATCGGTTCGGAAATATTGCTGTTGAAAATTGATTCCAAAAATATCATCTTTCAAATAGTCCAGCTCCCTTTTTTTCGGTTGTCATCTTTTTTTACATCCATCCACTTTCATACTCAATACTTTCTTTAAAACATGGCTCATAACATGACAATACCAATACATTCTATTACTGCGTAATTTCTCTGTTAATAATTTACTGACAGGTATTTAGCTATATATAACATGTACACAGTGTTATCTCTACTTAGTATAAAACTAGATGGCACTGCCTAATGTTATCTCCTATAAAAAAATTAAGACGTTTTAGTATGGGAGGTTTAAGTTTAACGTTCTTTGCTTTGATGCTTAGTATGACAACAAAGCTGTAGGGATGGGTAATATGTAAGAATATCTATAGGTATTGTGCATTCACTCATATTGAACTGTCTTTCTTTTGTTTTCCATTTCAGTTTTACTTCCTTTACCAGAAAGTCGTAGGAATCCTCCACGCAAATACCCATTTAAGTTTTAGGTACCCACTCTGTACCTGCGCTGCAACTCATTTATATATATCCGCACCATATTTTGATTACAGTATATTTGGCCAATAACCAATTTATACAGTATCGATATATAGAACCTAATTGAAATAAATAAATATGAATATCCGACCTGTACGTGTGATTTCGTAATAGATAATGTCCATTTTTTTGCCATCAATGTCCAGTATTGTTCAGAGGAACTCAATATATAAATATCGAAGCGGTACCGATGTTACCATGCCTTTGGTAGGCAGACAGCTTGCTTGATGAAAAGTGAGATAAAGATATAAATTACACGATGCACATTACAGAATATACTATAATGCTCATGTTATATGTGTATATATGTTGCCACACATGACCAGTACCATAGAAAAGAATAGTAATTCCTTAAAACTAAAAGAGGTCGATGTGGTCCCGGCATAGAATAGGCCACCCATTCCATTCCCGTTAGTGTCGTAAGAGGCGACTAAGGAAACTTAATGGTCAAGGAATGGGCAGCAACATTCCTTTTAAAATATCATTAAAATCTAACTGCGGTTGCCAATCCGTCTACCAAGCGTGGCAACTACTTACAAAATCCACCTTATGGTGGAGATCTATGTTCAGCAGTGGACAGTTAACATATGGTGTTATAATATAGACTAATATAATAAAAAAGGTAATTCTATAACTTGTAAGTTTACCCCATATCACCATTCAAACGGACATACAGCAAAAAAATAAGAAAAATGTCCAGTTTTCCTGGTGACATACTCAAAAGAAAACATAGAGTGCAGAGTTTTTCAGCTAAGATGGCAACACTGCGCTAGACCACGCCCCCACTGTGTGATCATGCCTCTGAACAAACTCAAACGTGCCACGGGAATAAAGTGCGAATTTCCTCAAATCCGAAGTTTCCCATACAATGTTTGAAATCATCATAATTCGTAGCTTGAAGACCGTTTAAATACTTAAAAAAATCTGAGTACCCTTTTTCATGTCGACAGCATTTTTTAAAATATTTTTTAATGAATAACATTGGAATGGAAACCCCGCCTGCGCCAACAGTATACGCAGGCAGGACACAAGTGAAGGATGATTGGTGAGAATGAAAAGGCTGACCAGTTAGTCCATCGTGATGAATTTACCTAAATTCCGCATGATGGTTTTCAGAGGGGATCTCATGGAGGTCGACTTGATAGGGTACATTGCTAGCAATAGAACTGTTAGATCCCATTTCTAACAATCCTTATCCCTATATACTCAGAGTTTGGCGACTATTATAATTGAGAAGAACGTATTGTCGGCATGTCTATATTACACCCAAAATCTTAGAATTCATCGTGGTAAGGAGCGACCCTACCGCCATACTTAAGGTACAATCAGAGAATTAATCTGCTTTGTTATCTATGTATTCCACCATCGGTAAGTTGAAAATTTAAATTGATGAACAAAGAATTTGTTTTCGAACAGGTTAAAACTCGCAATTTTTAAGGTTTTTTTTAATGGATGAAAATGGAATGATAATTCTACCTGCACTATCGGTACGTGCTGAAAAGCCACCAGTGAGAAATGTCAGGTAAGGGTAAAGCAAGTCTAACTGACCCATTGTGATGAATTTACCAAAGAGTAACCACAATGGTAGTGTATGCAGATTGATCCGACATTATTGATTGATTGATTGAGGTCGACATAACAAGAGCAATGGCTAGCAATCGAGCTTAGACTCCATTACTAATAACTACCAGAGATATCTGACCTGAGATGACTTCTAGCATCCATATCACTCACCTTCCTACAACTCTGCTATACTTCCCATATTTATTAGTACTATTAGCCACTTGACTGACGAACCTTGGCATTTTCTCCAAAATTATCCAAGGCCAAATGCAAAGGGGGCCACAAGTTCAAGAATGAACTTACACAAATAGTCGAGTCATGCTTGATGAGTTGGACAAATTAAATAGGGTTGGCACTATATTATATTATTAAAATTATATAAAAACTATAAAGTCCATGGATATAAGTAAATTTTATGTTTTTATTATTTAGGCAGTTTGTAGTACAATTAATTCTTTATTTTTAGTCCCGAGATGAGAAGCAAAAGAGTGATAAAGCATATATTAAGTAATAAGGTATTTTTTTTTATCTCTGACAAGTATTTGGAATGGTATAATATTATTTTATGTGAATATTGGGGAATAAATATATTTGTATATTTAATAAACGTAAAATGTCAATTTTGAGTAATTCTATTATTGTAATTTTTATAGCATTACGCTTTGAAAATTTATCTTTATTAAAGTTTATAAGTAATTATATAATTAAGAATAGTCTATCCATGTACAAAATTTTATTCAAATCTGTTTAATAAAAATCAAACATCCAATTATTTTTATAAACTTTTACATTTATAATATTAGTAGGACTATATATTATATAAAGCAATGTTTTTGTTTCAGGCTTCAGAAAGTCGGCAAACTGGCGCACATAAGTAAGTAAAATCATGTAAAACATTATTACACTTTTAAAATTTATTTAAAAAAAACTTTTTGGAAATATATTCGCATTTACTTTAAAAAAAATTCTAAATCATACGATCAAATTAATATATTATATCTATTTGAAAATAAAATTTTGGAATAAAACTAGTTAATGCAAAGAAAAATTGAGTCCACTTGAAAATCTTATTAAACTTCTTTCATTTCCGTTTTCTCCAAGTTACCTTCGTTTACGTTATATCTAGAGCTCAGCAATACTGTCACTAAAAGCGTGAGAGAAGGAGAAGAATAAAGAGCTAGGATTTGTTGTAAACAGTTTATGTAAGACTTAAATTTTAGCAAAAAATTCAAACTGTGTTGTAGAAACACGCTTATCTGTTTACGTAACTTAGTTCTGGATGGCACAACATTTCATGAAGTGATTTTGTCAGATTATATTCTATGCTCTGTATTAGAATTAAAATAAAATTAATCTGTCGACAAAAATGACGTTGTTGACTTTTCAATGGATACTAAAATTGGCGAGGTACGATCACAATTTGATAGGTGTGGATGAAGTCAGAGAATCATGATGAATTCATAAAAAAATGGACTAGATGGTCTTTTATGCAACTTAGGTGTGCCTGATGAAACTCAATCTAACAGATCGATCTTACACTAATCTTTCTTCCTAACATACAATGCTGATTATCATTTCTATCAAGTTAACGTTAGAAAAAAAACTGAGACCTATATAAAATACCGTAGTGCCTCAACAGTCGACTTCGCTCAAATCAAATACGGGACTTTAAGTTTGATGCCGCGAATGAAAAAAGTTCCCGTTCGAGTTCACCGGGGAATAGCGGCACGGTAAAAAATTCTGATTTCGTTATCTGTAAGCCTCTTATATTCTTAACACGAACGAACGCCAAAATATTTCTTTTTTTCTCTCTCTCCCGCACGACGAAATGTAATTTTGCTAGTAACTTTTCACTTAGGTAACTTGCGAACTTCGCAGATGCTACACAGTAAGTTGAGATTATTTTCAAAAGTTTTTTGGAGCACTCCCAAATAAAATGGGGTATGATTCGCGCTCTTTGCACTTTTCCCATCAACGTTAAATTAGCGTGTTTAGAAGCGTTATTCAAGTTTTTATAGCTTTCTTGTTATTTTAAAACGGGCCTCGGCGGAGTTATTATTTTTGACAATGTTATGAAGTTTAGTCTGTTCTTATTTGAGTATTTGAAAAAAGAATTCCAATATCTATGTACATGGTAAAGTCTAAATCACTATGCGTTCTTTTAATATGATAATTTAATAAATCTGATAAGACATCAGTGAATCTGAAGATGCATATCAAAAAACTTTTTTTTTACAACACAAGGGGCAAACGAGCATGCAGCTCACCTGATACCGCCATACATACCGTCGCCCATGATCACCCACAACACCAGCGGCATTGCAGGTGTGCTACCGGTCTTTTAAAAAGGAATATGCTCTTTTCTTGAAGGTTATGTTGTCGCATCGGTTCGGAAATACTGCTGCTGGAAGTTGATTCCAAAGAGTGGTTGTATGTGGAAGATAGTGCCTTGAAAAACGCACGGTAGAGGACCGCCACTCGTCCGGATAGTTGAGATGAAATTTTTGTTTATGGCGGGAATCTGAACAATAAGAGCACTCCCCATGATAAATTCGATAGAAGATGAATTTAGAACAGATAAAATATTTAAGCCACCTATTCTAATTTGAAAACTAAGATCTTTAACCAGTGCGTATTGCCAGTGATAATCTATGGAATCGAAACATGGTCCTGTGGTTGTTTCTATGCAAGAGCTTCAAATTACTCAGCTAGCTGTGGAGAATAGCCCACTTTGAGTTTCTTTGCGCGATAGAATCCAAAATGAGGATATCCGCAAAAGAACCAAAGTGACCGTCAGTGCTCGAAAGATAAGCAAGCAAAAATAGCAATGAGCTGGTCACATAGTTCGAAGAACCGACAACCGATGGGGAAGAAACGTTTCTGAATGGCGGCCCCGTGTAGACTAACGCAGTGCAGAACGAGTTTCAACTACATGAAGTGACAACCTCAAATGCATTGCAGGTAATCAGTGAATGCAAGTGGCTCAGGATCATTCCTAATGGCAATCTATGGGATATATCTATGTTCAGCAGAACACAGATAATGACTGATATGAGAATGGTGATGATGATCCTAACTTGACAGCTGGACATGAAATGTCACTGTGTAGCGTTGGACGAGGCATATTTCTTTGAGAAAATATTTAGTTTTGTTGGTCGTATACTACCTTCAATTTCAGGTTGTACACAAGTGCCTTTACGATGGGGTAACATTGACCACGTTATATTTATATAATCAACATTCTTATTATATCTTTTGTTTAATTTACCCAAAACCACGGCTAGACCTGGTTAATGACTTGAAAACTGAACTTTTAGGGCGATTCACTGATCTCATTAACTGTGGTGAGAGCTTAGTTGGGCATACTTTTTAGTGAGAGATCACGCCTTTAAAAATATAAAACAAGACTCAAATTGATATGTATAAACGATTTTTTTTTAATTTTACTTGTGATATATATTAATGTTTTTGATATATATATTTATGGTGATGTTAAAAAAATAAGTAATAAAACAATACATACTATCAGTAGTAAGAGATCATAAGTTGTAGGACAGAGTTCAATGCGCAGGTAAATACCTAGAGGGCGCCATATGACCATTTACATACATGGGATTGCAAACGTTGGAAACGGTATATATATTTTGAATGTGTTAATATAGCTCTTTTATTTATTACCCAACACCGCATCATTAAAAATTTTTTTTTAGTTCATGTCTTTATGTCTTTTAGAGGGCGCCATATTTAATTCAATATGACATCACATGGCTTCTAAGTAGGAGACTATCAAAATGTTTCCAACGATATCTCCCATTTCAAATTATGTAATTAGTACAAAGTAATTTAGATTGTATGAAGGAACAGATACATATATACATACTACTCAAAATCATAACCCTCTGTTTTCGTAGTCGCGTAAAAATTATTATCGTTTACTTCGTGCTTGGGAGAGCATATTACCCCATCGTTCAGTAAGCTCGTTAGAGACCTTCGCCTATAAAATAATTAACAAAGGCAACCTAGAAATTCTTGGCATCAGAGGACGTCATCCTCACACAAGTATTAACAAATTTTACCGTGAATTGGAATGATTGTACAATATGCTTTATTCAATAGAAGGTATTTTCACAAGCAGATAAAAGGGTGTCATGCTATACATAAGTAGAGGAAAGGGCTCTTTTCAATAGGATCTTCGATATCTCGTCGAAGGTTTCATACTTGAGAACCCTACACAGAGGCATAACAGCCTTTAGAAAGCTAAGAGCCGCACACTATTGAACTATGTTACAGCAAGATTGGACACGATGTAGGAAATCTTTATGTCCTATGTTAAATTCGTAAATCTAAAGAAATCAATAAGAAGAAAAAACAAGAGGCAAAATACATTTTGCATATTCCACTTGGGCGAAACATTATACACTGTTATGTCCATGGTACTGCTCATGTCTATATACGACTGTTACTACTTTCCATCAAGTGGGCCGTCAGCTTGTTTGCCATTCTAAGTTGTATATATATATATATATATATATATATATATATATATATATATATATATATATATATATATATATATATATATATATATATATATATATATATATATATATATATATTCCTCAAACTAGTTCACACGATGAACTTCGTATTACCTGCAACACCATCTATTAAATGTAATTCGAAGTAGTAATTCCTATAGAATTATACCTATTTTAATTTTGCGATTTTTCTGCTAAATTTCTTTTTTTTCTCTTTTTAACCATTCCTGTATTACAATGAACCAAACGACAAATACAGATTACAAATCTATCTAACAATTTTCAAGTGATGCTCTTACTAACAGAATATAATTTATGTTCCAATAGATAAATAAACCACAAATGTATAGATAAAAATACAACTACTACGTTGGCTACTTAAAACTTAAAGATTATTATATCTACCTACATTTTAAAATATAACATCATCATCCAATGAGATAACAAAAGAAAAAATAAAAAATAAAATATGTATCATATTATATTTGCCTAGAAAATTTGAGACTACTTTTCGATTTTCCTGAGACTTTAGCATAAGATCCTGAGTTGGTGACAATGAAATTACCTCAGGAGTAAACTCTTGAATAAAAAAAATTTGGAAAAGCAGTTCACAATAGATGGAGAAATCGATGAACACAGATTATTAGATAATAAAAAAATATACAAATATCAAACTATCTCTTTTTTGAAGTCGGTTAAAACAAGGAAATGTTAACGATGTAGATGAAACATTTATTCAACGAAACAGCGCAGAGAGACCACACAAAAAGTCTGCAAGAAGCCAACCACCTCACACAATATTTTAAACAAGAAAAAAGTAGTTGCAAAACGTAAGGAACACAAAGGATAGTTGTGTTTTGCTCGTTCATTTCACCAAACCCCCGGGGTAAGACTTGGAACGCTTTGGTGTCCATGTTTGATCCTTATTTACAAGGCGGGAAAAGTAAATTACGCCAGCACGGGATTGATTGTTGGTAGCAACCCCGGGAGATTGCGATTGCATGCTGCAATTTTATTGCAACCCTGCTGCAGGGTTTGGTAAAGACGCTCGCCGACTCTACGTTGCGAACGATTTTCATTTAGAATTTCTAAGAACGAAAGCGAGTTGTTCTATTAACTTTGTTCTGTTGAACGCAAATAGATAGCGTAGACAAAGTATTGTATTTTACTATACAATATTGTTATTAATAATATCGACACATATAAAAATCCCTTGCTAAGTGTTTATGTGCTATGGGGAAGAGATAGTTATTAATGGGATCGGATGCACCTTTGTTTATAACATATCAAGTCGACACCTTTACAGCTGTCGATTTTATATTTTCGCGTTGTTTAC